GTTCCTAGGGTTAGTGTCGACGGAGGCGACTATCGCCGGTGGCGGCGGAGAAGGGGCGCCCGGCGCGGGGAAGAGATCCCCGCCCCCACCGTCGCGTTCCCAGCCACTCCGCGCGCTCGTAGATTGCGAGGAGCGCCTTTCCTACCGAGACCACCTCCGCGATAGTAGCGGAGACAAAGCCGACCCTTTTCGCACCCCGGAGCGACGGAGACGGCGGGGAGACCAGCGAGCGCGAGGAGGAACAAGCAGGAACGCGCTGCGCAACGCCGCATCGCCATCCACGCTTCCTGGAACGGCAGACCCGCACTGCGCGGCGCTGGAGAAGCAGCAGGCCAGGGCCGCACAGGCCGTCGCCCTCGCCAAGCGGCACCGGTCCTACGACACCGGCGGCAACAACGGCGCCACCCGGGGGGGGCACGAACACCCCCATCCCCGCAACGGCGGAGCCCCCCTCTACCCTCCTTCCTGGTACGACCCGAAGCAGGCAGACAGGTCGCGCCCCGACTCCGGCCTCGTCTTGGAGTATGTCCACGGGTACGCTGGGGAGACGCCGGATGTCCTATCCGGCGGCGGCGTCGGCGGCGGCGGCAAGTTCGGCGGCGGCGTCGGCGGCGGTAGCGTTGGTGGGGGAAGAAACTCGGCAACGAGGAGCACCAACGTCGTGTGGCTTCGCAGCGGCGAGATCGTTTACCCGGCAGCCGGGGTGGTCGTCATCCACGACTTCGAGACCAACCGGCAGCGTTTCTTCACCGGTCATGATGAGGCGAGCGTTGCATTGCACCCCCCGCCTTTTCGGAGGCTGTTAGGTGGAAAAGTGGGCAAAACACGTAGCGCCATGACGAAAGTGGGGCAGTGCATGGTGTGCTGGCGGTTAGCGGTTGGGCTTTGTGGGGAGGGCGGCTGATAAACGTCCCGTACGGACACCCCCGCCAGAAGTGCTTGCGTGTGAAGCTGCTGTCAGTGTTGCCAAATGTGTGCTTAAGCTGGCACACACCCTCCCGTCGGCCTGGTGACGCGATTATGAACTTGCGGGGAATGCACCGGTGGACTTTTCCCCGCACGTTGAGGAGGTTCATCTGCCATCCCACAAAGGTTTCACTGGTAGTGTGCGCGGTGCCCAACATTCAAGCCGGGAAGGCGTGCCTGACCGAAACCGTGCCCCCCCCCCCCACCTTCATCGTTCCCGCCCTAAAACCCCTGCTACTCCCGTCCATCACCCCGGCGACAACCGTCTCAAAAACGGACGAAGCAGCAAGTCACCGCCGTCGCTGTGCACCCTCACCACGACATCGTTGCCAGCGGGCAGGCGGGGAGAGAGGCCATCGTGTGCCTGTTCGACGCCACTCGACGTCGGTCGGGGGCCGGCGGGGGTGGCAGGCGCGGCAGCGAGGAGAACCACAGCAGCGACGCCCGGACGGCGGGGGCCGTGCAATCATCGGGGGCGGCGACGGCCGTGGCGGCGCCGGTCTTCCTGCGGGAACTTTCACTTGGGAAGAGGAAAACTCGAGGGGTGAGGGGGGGGGGGTGTACTCATAGTCGTGCATGCCGCAGTCGTTTGACCATTGACCTCGCATCCCTACAAAGCCGGGACGGAGCACGCCGGGTTCTCACCGGACCAGGCTCTCACATCACCAAGCGCGAAGCGCCGTGAGGTATTTGGCGAGTGGCATGAAGGGCGAGCTGCATCCTGCTAAGGGTGTTCGGCATCTTGTGCTTACTTCCTTGCGTACGGATGACAGCTGCGTATGACTTAATTTATTTTCTGGTGCTTTCACTTCCAGAGACAGTTGTAAGCACTGTGTAGCTGCCTCGAGGATGCTTGACCATTTTAACACAACGTGGTGCAACCATCCCCTTTGCGCGGAGTGGGGGTTCTCGACCCCGCACAACATAATCTACTCGACCACCATTCATGGTTACCGCAAAAAAAAAACAGAGGAAAAAAAAAATGCGGTAACCTGGTTGCCGAGTTCACGAAGTGAATTGGCTTGTTTTACAACGTCGTTGCCAAGCGACGAAAACCCCAAATCCCGATGGCAAACAGGGGGGGGGGGGGAGGGGT